AGTGAGAGAGAGAACTCATGCCTGATGGATCCCATTAGGCTTAGTGTGCAAAGCAAGTTGAGATGAAGTAGCTGTTCTGGTATGCGTCCAAAACTGTTGTTCTATTTTTAGTCTCTCCCGCATGCTTCTGAGCCCCGCATTGTACTCCTGGGCACCTGGATCGGCAGCAAAATGTGGAACTCAGCCACGCATTTGTAAAGCTGGAAGGAAGGAGGCCATTGATGCTGGGCTTGTTTATCGCTGACAGCGAAGGGGGACCTGGAATGTTAATGAGGACGGCTCTCTGAAGCATGCCTTCATGGTTAGCTAGGAGTTCAAAGGAGGAGGCAGCCTCAGTCCTGGCCGAACAAATGGGAACCGTTGATAGAGGGAAGGAGAAATCAATTATGCTGTCGCTGGCTTCCATGTCATTGTGTTGGAGTTGTTAGAAAAGGTAGGACAAGGACCAGATCTCAAAAGGAAACAAAGCCACATGGCCTTGAAGTATAACGAGTTTGCCATGGCAACTGATGGAAATGAGCCTCCCGGGCACGAGCAGGTGTGTTATCTTACAGAATAAACATACTTCTCTCACTCCCTGGTTTTTATAATAAAACCTGTGTTTGGTTTACCTTCCCCTCCTCTTTGTTACCCAGAGAAGTTGGCTGTTGCTCAATCAGCCCAAGGCTCTAGCAAGGAAAATGTAATCAGTGTTATCAAAAGGGCTGCTTTTGAAAAGCTGGCACTCTGCATGGCTGCCAGCCTCGTCACTGAGCAGCAGCTGGCCACAGGTACCTGTCCAGCCTTTGCACCTTCCAGGCGATGTCCTCCACAGAAGCCCTCCTTTTCGCGCATTCATAGAGGTGTAACGGTGAGACCTGGCTCTCCCAGGCGTGCTGGTCAAAAGCTGCATTTTTCTGAGGGGAGAATCGTATTTAGGTGAAGCTGGGACCTGACCAATTTTCAGCATCCTGTGTTATCTGGGATGTGTGCCAAGGGATCTTTGAGTTCAGAGATTAACTGATTCTATCTTCCAATCTGTTGTTATGTACAAAGTTCAGTTACTCAGAAATTTGCAGAGAGCTGCTGTTTCCCTAAGCTTTAAATCCCTCTCAAATGGATTCTGGGGCAGTAGATTCTCCATTCAAAATGTACACAAAATATGGAGAGTTTATACAATCCTCCCAAGTTCAAAAGAAAAGTTTACTTTTTATTGTTACAAGGCCAAAAGTAATGACAAAGGAGGACAGTCCTATTTTCATTGTT